CAATGCCGGTGACCATCTGCACTTCCTTCTCTCTCACTCTCTTTCTCATGAATTGACTTGACTGTTCTTCTATACCACTACTACTACCATCTTTACTTGGCCCATCGCTACAATTTTGCAGCAGCAGCTTTTTCTTTGCAGTCTCCGTTTGATGGGTTCCACACCGCCTGTAGGTGTGTAGAAACTGATCCGATTGAGGTGGAGGACTAGAGATCTCTGAGTGATGATGTTTGTGAAACTTGTGTCAGTGGTGCGGTGCATGGGATTCGACTCCCACCGACTTGGAAGTTGATTGTCGTCGGAGTGGTTCTTGTGAGAGTCGGGAGAGTGAGAGACTCAATGTTGTGAGAGTCAGGAGAAACTGGCTTGGAGGTTTCGGATTGTCTGCTGCTCAGCAAAACCTTCAAACCGTGTTGAGTCTCTACCTTCGCCTTGAAGTGGTCTTCTGGTTCCTGATATAAGACAACATTTCTTCTGAGATGGGTCCTTGTTTTGCCGCTGATACCAAGCTTCTGGAATACTGAGATTTTTTTTCTCGTTTATCTACTCCCTGAATGAATCCCTCAAGAATACTGATACGTTGATCGGTTTTATGACCTCGAGGGGCTGAAACGTGATCTGGAGTCATAAGGGAGAGCCATTCTTTGATGATGAAAATTCTTCAGATACATCCTACATTGTTGAATGTAACTTGTCAATACAGTTGTTATCGTTACCACGATTTCTTCAGAAGTTAATGGAATATGTTCGATGAGCCACTGGAATTATCGGCTCATAGTGCAAGATTAATTCAGGAAGGGGTTATTGCATTGAGGTGGGGATGCGGTTACGTCGGATTTATTTCCACTGCACTTTTCATCACAGCGTCGTTTGTTAATATACATATTTTCACCATGCGCATATTCCACATCTAGGGATTGGGTGTTATTCCCAGACACCGTTTCGTCTTCATGCTCCCACCTTCACTTGCGCTTTCATTGACCATCACCTAAGCCTGAATTCCTGAACAAGATTCTTCGCCACACACAATCTCGGAGTAGACAACGGAATCCTCGGCATCAGCGTCCTTGGAATTATATTTGTCAACATCGCTTCTGACGATCTTCAGTACTACACGCTTGGATACGTTGAGAGAACTTCAACGTTAACGAGGACTTTGATTGATTTCAGACAGCAACTAGCCATGTGCTTGTTGATAAGAAACCTCATGCTTTCCGCAATTTCGGAGTATCCACATGAACGGATGCCCTCATTCTCATGATAAGATGGCATTAATTTTCCCATCAATGCTGTGGCAATATGACAAAACAGGCGCCCATATCCCCCTCCAGCAACCATTGCTAGCCCAGGGACTTGAATCTCAGTCAGTTTCAATACCTCTCCAGAAAACAATTCTGGCCTCCGAAAGTTACACGAGTCGCACATCTTAGATCACCAATCTTCACAGATATCATCAGTGCTATTATGCATGTCAATAACTAAAATTTCATCAACAAACTCCAGGGATGACGTGAACAAGCAAGCACCATTTCATTAGCACTTACAATCCTCATGAAACTCATGAGACGTCGTCAACTGTCCTCCAGGTAATTAATTCCATGAAGCTCTTCAAGTACTGAGATTGTGTACTCATCAGCAACAATAGTTCATTACCAGCAATTGGGTCGCTGTGAACACAACATTGTATGAAACTAAAACATGCATAAATCGAGAAGAAAAATAAAATAAAATAAAAACTGGCGTCTCAGGAGGAAGGACTCCCACTCCCCACAGTCCACACAGGCGACTGTCAAAGTGTGTGCTTGTCTATGGATGGCTCTATCATGTTGCCATCAATTTGGGTTTCTTTTATTTATTTATTTATTTATTTGTGTTACTTTTTTGTCTAAGTTTTTTATGAGTTATGTGACATTTGGATTGAAACTTCTGGAGAATGCTTCCGTTCTTTGAGAATATACAAAAATGCAATAATGAGAACTCTTTAGAATGGAATGTTTAAGAATTCATAAAATTAGATGATGATATTTGTAAAATATCTATATGATAAGAGTTTAGAATTTTTCTTTTTCTTTTTATCTTTTTGATACTTATTAGTTAAAAACTTTGATAATTATACATGACTGATTTACAATAGTTAAAATAGTTACATCCTATGAGAATATTAATACAACTTTTATTTCCTTGTTATTTTTTTTCTAAAAACTTATCTCAATTTTATTCTATTTTATTTGATCATACAAAAGTAAACTCTTCTTAGTTTTTTAAAAAATCTATTTTTTAACGATGTAAAGGGTTATCATGGTGTATGAACTTACAAGTGTTTTGTAGGAAACGACTTGCTATAGCATTGAAATCATCATTTTTTCAAAAAGTGTTATTTCACTCAATTAATGAAAAGAGTGTTGAAAAAAATGACATGAAGTATCAAGCATGGTAGACACTGAACAATGGTATCCAATGTACACATTGCAATTGGTAGTTTCCTGAAACGAATTGAAGACACATAGTATACATAAGTTTTGTACACAACATTTGCAATTAATATGAGAAAAAAAAAAAAAAAAAAAAAAAAAAGTCAAAAGATAAATCAATGACAAGACAATATAACTACACTGAAATTCTATGGTATTATAACAAGGATTGATACGTACTGATATCTACTTTTGCAACACAAATTAAGATAAAATGTTGTGCAAAACAATGATTGAGCACACACATACACACACACATAAACAAAACCTTGAAACAACTTCTACCGCCACAGACCTCTCACAGAGAGAGAGAGAGAGAGAGAGATAATGGGTCAAGGAAACTGGTAGGTCGCAAGGGAGGGTGATTAGTTTGTTGCAAAGCAGAGCTTGTCGCGGACACAATCCCAGCTTGCTTACGGAGTCTGGACGTGAAAGCCCGGGGGAAACACTCAACATCATTTATCTATCCACCGTCCTCTCGATGTGACTCAACAGCAGCAGGAAGATCGATACTAGTCGAAGAAGAACATGACAATGTACTACAGATTTTGCCTCGATGCGTCAGCCAGCTTCGGTGGAAGCGTCTCTCGCACGTACTTCCTTCCGACCCCCCACCCCACCCATCAATCTTCAGCGACGGTTTTTTTGCAACTGCTGCCACAGCTTGTGACCATACCGATTCATAATCATTTGCATGCGTGCTCAGTTTACGGACATGAAACGTGGACCAGTGCCGAAGTGTGGGTGCCGTGCAGATTGGATCATGTAGTTGTTGTGCCCTCCTTTTTGTGTTTTGTGTTTTGTTTTTTGTTTTGTTTAGTTTTGTTTTATTTTTTCTTCTGTACTGTTGAGCACAAGAAGACAGAAGCTGGTACAAGGTGGTGCTGCTTTCGACTATGGCTGTGCAGGGACACACAGCTCGATACCTGTGCGTCGTGTAGATTAAGCAATAGGGTATGGATAAAAACACCTGTCATGTCATTTCTTCAGTGGAGGTAGCGAAAAGCGGCACTGAAAAAAAAACCGCCACAACAGAATATACATCGTGCCACTTGGAAGTTCAGAGCCGCTACGACCTGTTTTGACTCAGATTGTGATTTAAAAAAGTAAGAAAAGCAAGAGCATCGTTTTGAAGAAATGGGTTCTGAGTGACACAAAGAGCATTTCCGCTTTACACACGCCCAGTTCTTCGTCATGCGGCCGAAATGATAGCAAAGCACCGGGCAGCCTTTGAATTCGTGAATGCGTCGTCTGACCGAGCCGTGTGGCCAGCCAAGTGATTTTTCCCTTCTTTGACAAAAACGAGGAACCCAACCCCTGCTGCTATGAGAGTCATGTTAAATTGAGGTATCCCGTCAGATACGACCACATCTGCAAGTCACCAGTAGAAACGGAAAACACACAACATTTGGCACATGGAATACGAGAAGCTTCTTCTTAAGATAGGGCTGCTGCAGAATTCCAGACGTACACGAGATATCTGCTGACGCAGGGACATGGCGAGTCGTCCAGAATAAATTCGTTAGTTCCATACACTCAATGCTTAGTGGGTACAAGATGACACTGCAACGCCCACAGCCAGAGCGAAGCATCTTACACATTATGTATGTGCGTAAATGAGGTAGTTGTTGCAGGCATTACCCTTCCATGGAGGGAGTTGATAGTGATTATCCCTTCCTTTAACATGTAACACACTTAGAAATATGATTAAACCTTGGGGATACAAGCTTTCAAAATACGTTGCAATGAAACCCACAAGATGTTTATGGATAGTTATCAAGAGTAAGCGATTACATTCTCCGCTTATCCATTGCATTGATAACACGTTGAAACCACCAATGCTACCATTACCGGTTTGAGAATTGAGAAATGTTCCATGGTGAAAGTTTAAGTCGGGTTCTTGTTGTCTAAAACTTTGAGTTGACGTGGGAACTTGACCTTCACGCAGGAGACTATATCACTGTACCGAACATCTTACCGATTATGTTTGTCGTCTTTCCTTACGTGTTTTCTGCGTCATCCACACCGAACTCATCCAGCACCTGCTGTGAGAGACAAATACAACCTAACAGATTATGTGACATTCATTAATGCAACGCACATGTGCTGCACTGGTTTTGTTAACAGTTGACTTATGAGTAGGAACTATCTGAATCGCTGATTGTACCGTCTACCCAAATGTCGAGTTGTTGATGACACATTATAGACCCTGATTACAGAGCAGCACATGTCTACCATCCGAATGCAAGTGAAACGAACAGGTTTGAGGGGAAAAATGACTGTTCGCACCTGAAAAATGGCGGATCCACTGTAAATTCGCGAGGACCACACTGCACTGGTTGCATCTTCAAAAACAGTGTGACAAGAGATACAAACTAATTTTGCAGGCCTCAAAATACATTATTTCAACAAACAAACCGACACTCAAACAAACTTTCACTTAGATATGGCTCCTAATAAATGAGATCGTTTAAGACTTCTTGAGAATTGTCGGTAAGTGGAGGTCCATCTCAACATCGGTGACACAGCTTTGCAGGGTGAGTTGGAACGTCAAATCCAACTTAGAGGAATCTTGAGACTAGTGATTGCAGTCACATCAAACACTGGACAAATGTGTGTTGTACGATCAGCAGCACAATGTCCAGCACCCTAAGAAGATTAAAGCCATTGTATCCATATGCCGTCTTCCAATCTCTACACAAATATCACACCCCAAGTTCCACACAGGAATATTCTGTATGATAACATCAAGCGAGGTACCTCAACTTTAGTGCAACCGAAGGCTGAACAGATGTTGTGTACAAAGTCTATAGTGCAAAAATTGTGGAAATTTGAGTTACACTGCAATACACGGACATTACCCTGAGAAGCCATTGCTCATCCCATAATACCTACGAGTGTACTGTGTTCAATGTGTAGAATACCCTCTCTAACAGACAAAACCAGCTCTGCCACGCTCAAGCGTTTGCCTTCACGCTTTTCGCAATAAGCTCCCGAATGACCTCATTTGATGCAAGATCCAGAGCAGATTTTCCTTCATTATTCTTCACACTACCGTCAGCGCCAGCCTCAATAAGCTCCTCAACCTTAGGTTGATCACCCTCGTTGGCAGCCATCATTAGAAGGATATCCACAGCAGGGATACCTTGATTAAGAAGCGCATACATCTTATCGTATGTGCCCTCCGTTGCTAGCATTCCCATATAGTTGAAGTACTGTACCATTGCACAGTCAAAAACATGTTACAGGCTTCTTGACACGTAGTAAGAGCACTAACAAAAATCTATCTAAAAAAATGAGGAAAAGCCCTAACCTCCAAACCTGAAGAATCCCTGTCGTCGTAGTAGCTGAACCAACCATTGTCGAAACAATGAAACGAAAGAAAAAAAATACTCCCGCCGCGCAATCCCAAAAGGAAAACGAAAGAAACTAAAGCAAATTAGCAATTCCAAGCGGAGGGAACCAAACCTGCTCAACATCGGACTCGTCATAATCGGCACGCTTCTGACTCCCGTAAATCCCTGCTTCCTTAGAACTAGCTCCGTTCGTCCCGAATTTGAACCAGGCGGAAACGCGGCTGCCGTTCTGTGGTCCGAGGCTCCGACTACACGACGAACTTCCGACACACCGGCCCGCGAAACCACTGAGCAAACTGCTGTTGTTACTGCTGCTGCAGGGACGGGCTCCACTAGCGGAGTTGCTCACTGCCGCCAAAGCGAAAGCAGCAGGCACGGACAGAGCCGATGCCTGCAACAACGCCACCATGGTTGCGGTGCGGCACTGCGGAATGGAATGCGAGCAAGCGAGCGAGCGAGGCTTGGCAAACAAACAAGCGTAACGGAGAACAAGCAAGCAAGCAATCCAATAATCCAACAACACAGCGAAACCCTGAAGCAGAATAATAGTTCGTTCGAACCGAGAGAAAGCTTGTGACCCAGGCTGAGGAAGACGAGACGAGAGAGACGAGAGGAGAGGCGAGAGACTCCAAAGCAGGATTCGCGGGTTGTGATCGGATAAGGGTTCGTGGCTGAGTGGGTCGCGGGCTTCGGTCCAGCTCAGCTTATTCATCCGACGTGGACTTCTCGAACTGGGGGTCGCTCTTAGGCGGCTGAGTCCAACATGGCCACTCCTCACACATTTATTAATATTGAAAAAACCCCATCCATCAACCGACATAACGTGTCTTTCGCAACACAGCGAGTAATTATTCAAAGTTTTCATGTGTATTGTGATTTAGACAATTGATTGCTGGTTTTAAATAAAATTTAATATTTGCTAATAATTATTTAATAGTGGAGATTTAAAACTCTAAAATTTATTTTGTGGATAGATTTGGAGATTTTTTGTAAAGTCATGTAATATTAGTCATGTCAATAAATGTAGTTTACAAAAAGTGGAAAGAGTTTATTTTTGTAGATCGTTATAAAATCAAAAAAAAAAAATTATATAACTTAAAAGTTGTAGAAGAAATTAGGTCAAGAGATTGTAAGGATTGAGATTAGGATAATATTTTTAAAGATGGAGTCATATACTATAGAATTTACAGTATGAATATTCAAATAGAGTAATAATCTAATGATGATAGAAGTAATACAAAATCATAACAAGCAACAAATCAATTTTGTATTTATAAAGAATGTAAATTGATAAAGCATTCATTGCATATTAGAAATCAAGACAACCACATCCTATTGTATTTTATTTTATTTTTTCTATCAATTCTTTTTTTAAAACGATTACTTATAATTTTATGAAATTTTTGTGTATTAGAACTTATTCTAGAAATATAATAATAAATGATAATATTATAATAGTAAAAATAGGAAAATATTAGATTGATCCAAGCTTTTATTAAATTAATTCATATGTCTAAACCATCATTAAATTTATGTCCTCATTCCCTCTATTCTTAATCTATATCTTCATCCTCTACCCCCATCTTTGTTCCTTTTGTTCTTAGCCTCCATCCTTATTTTCTGTTTCTCTCTTCCATCCTTATTCTCTTTGTTTTCAACTTCCATTGTTGTTTTTCATTCTCTACTCTCATCCTCACTCCCTCTGTTCTTAGCTTCCATCCTTGTTTCTTGTTCCTACCTCTATTTACAGTCCATATTTTCCATTCTCAGTCCATGTCTCTTATTCTTAGCCCATGTCCTCTATCTTGACCTCCTTCCATGTTCCTAGTAAGTTTTTCAAACAATGAAATTACTTTAATTTAGAATGGTGGATTTTAGATCTTTCAAAGATAAAACATGTTTTTTTACATGTTGAAGTAAATTTTATTATTACATAACTATTTTATTGGTTTGAGTAAAAAATGATTGGATATATCTTTACAGTCAAACTATTTTAGATTTTAAAGTGATATTTCATCTAAAATGATGTCTCAAAGTATCTCGTGATATATCAAAATATTAATTAATACTTCATCAAATCACCTATCTTGCAAGGTGGGTGATTTTGATATCAAAATGTCACAAGAAAAACGCTTGAAATATCACAAATCATATCACTAGTATCAACTCTCTTCCATCTTTGGTTCCATATGTAATTGCAACTTTATCCTTCCTATAGGCTCTAAAAAATAACAAATCCTAAAACTTTTGGACTACATTGCATATTACAATCTCACCATGCCTTAGTGCATTTGTAAGTCCAAAAGATATGATATTGTATTCAAAATATCTATACCTTGTTCAAAATGCAGTCTTTCATTAATCTCCTTCTTTGATGTATATTAGATTGTATGTTCCTTTTAGATTTATTTTTGTATAGATCCTAACTTAATTCAATTGATTAAAAAATTTAGATATCAAAGGTAGCGAGTACCTATTTTTGATGGTGATTTTCTTGACTCTTTGATAATCGACACACATCCACTATCGTGATGTAATATGATTATATAGTGAAATTATAATAAAAATTAAATTTCTAATTAACATCTAATTATCTTAGTTCAATTATAATTTGAGGTATCTAAACATGACTTTTATAAAAGCCTCTTAGGTTATTTTCTTATTTCAATAGTTAGTAGGTTGAAGGTTAGTAATTTTACCTTCTAGGTTGTAGAGACTCTTCTACTACCTTAGAAAGACTATAAATTGATAAAATCAAGTTAAAAGAGGTAAATAATTATTATAGTTGGTACTAGGATTAAGTTGAGAGTAGGATTGAGCTAAAAAATCCTTAGGATAAGTTAGATTGATACCCAAAGGTCAACCGTTTGTGAGACAGTGTCGAAATGAGACCTCTGGCCACTAAAATCACGGCCTAGGGCAAAATAGGGATTCATTTGAAGATTGGAGGATAGCGTTTGAAAGCTAGCTTGAAGTTCTTTTCAAAGGCATAAGGATTTTTTTTGGAGGATTTTTGAGGACTTAGCAATTGTTTTTCAAGGTCAAGGTTTGTATTGGTGATTTGGATTTTATATAATATAATAAGGGCTAGCAATTTTGGCTAGTTTATACAACTGGTGTAACATCTATAGTTGAAAATTTAATATTGTTTGGATTATTGGGTGTGCTAAGTACATAATTTTTTTTGTAATAATCTAATGATGTAATTTAGAGATATCTGGTTTTTAACACAAGAAGGTTTCTAAAGTTGGCAGTTTAATGTTGGATAGGGTTTCTATGATATCTAGAGATCCATTAATCGGATCAAGGTGAAATTTGGCATGGTGTTGCAGGACTTGAAGATCAAGGTATACACCAATTTTGAGTCAAAGTTAACGGTTGGAAAGAGAGAAATCATTGCTGGGATTTTTGCTTCACTTTTTAAGTTGGCAGCTGAGTGACATTAGTGCAATTTTTGGAGGTTTTTTCACAATCTATAAATTGGATTGGGCTAAAAATTCTTGAGCATATAGAAGACTTACATTGACAATTGCATACAAAATTTTACATCAAGTGGACAGTCAGATTGGATGTTATAGCTTGTTAAAGCTCATTGATTAGAATTGGGGTTTAGAAGAAAAATCTAAATTGCTTAAATATAAAAGTAATAAGGTAATTGGGATTTATGTATGATTAAGGCTACTAAGAAGAGTGCTTTTAGCACTTTTGAATTGAAATTCAAATTATATTCTTCTTACATGGATGAAATCTATTAGGATTTCTTGGATACTTGTAAAACATAATCTCACCTTCTATAATTAGGTACCTAGTATATTTTCGAGCAAGACAACACATAGTATGATACTGCAATTATCCATCTTTTTTTTTTTACAAATAAAATTAGAGCTCTTGCTAGAAATTTAGAATGACATATGAAGTTCTTAGCTAGATTTGCTTCAATATATTCCTTAAGTTTAGTCAATTCATTTTGTGATAAATTATGAATTGGTCCAAATGGTGATTGAGCTTCTTCTTAAAGGTCAATTGAATAGTTATAAGGACAATATTCTAGTAGAATATCCACATTTATTTTTCAAATATATCTTAAAAATCTTGATATTGGTTTGGAATGTCACTTGAAGTCTTTCCTATATTAGAAACAAATGTAGTATAAATGATATAATATAATCCTTCTTTTATAGTATACAAAAAAGCTCTTCTATTTATAAAAACATGTTTAATTACACTAGACTTATGACTTTCTACTTAATCAACTATTTTCTTAGTTATATTTTTAAAAAAGTTAAGATTATAAGAAATCTAATTTATTTTTGGATTATATTTTTTTATGCATGATAAACCTAAAATAACATGATAAAAAAAAGATCTAATAATATTAAATATTTCAAAGCTACTATGACCATTAGTTGTTACTTGTATAGAAAAGTTTTTATGAGTAACATCTCTTAAAGACAATAAACAACCATCTATGATTTCTATGTGAACAGTTTTAGTTTTTTTTATTAAAGGTATGCTATGTCTTTTAGTAAATTCTTCATCTAAGAAACATGCTGAGGCTTCTAAATCTAATGAGGCAAAAGCTTTGTAATGCTTAGTTTCTAAAATAACATTTATTGTAAAATAAAGAGAGAATTTTGAGGAGAAAATAGGACCTTCACTAGGTGTTGTATAGGGCTCTAGGCAAATGATCCCTATTGTAGCTAGACAAATTTGTTTTCCAACATACTATCTTTTTTGGTAGTCATACTCCTCATTTTGTAGTTGTATTGCTTCTTTAGATAATGTTGAACAATGTATTTAGGTTCTCCATAATACAAGCATAATTCTTCTTAACGATAACAAGTTTTTTTTTATTCAATAAGAGATTTGAAATGTACTGCATCAATTTGCATATCTTTTACTTTTGAATGTGTTTATTGAGAAGACATTGGCATTGTCATTAAATTATAGTAATATTAAGGTGTACTTATATGACTCTTATATTGAAATTTAAAAAATCAATTGTCATACCCCACATTAAAATCAATTGCTTGAGACAATCTTTGAGGATCATGTAAGTTGAAAATCATTTTTTTTTACATCAAATTGTAATTCGTAAAGAAATTGGCTAATAATTGAAGCATCATTCTACTTAGTATTAGTTGCAAGTTATTACAATTGTGAAGCATATAATTTTATCAATCGATTATCTTATTGTATAATATAAATTTTTTTGGTTGCAATACGAATTGCATCATATTTTCCATATATAAATCAAAACTTCTCCAAAAAAGTCTGTAGATTATCCAATATTGGATCTCGCCATTCAAAAAAAGATAAAATTATGATAATGCTACATTTAAAAAGAGTATACCAATAAAGCTAACTTGCAATCCTAAAGTTGGATAGCTTTGGAATTGATATTCAATCACAAATTGTACTGGATTGATAAATCCTCAAAACTTAGATTTTGTGCTATGAAACTTCTTGGGCAATGCAACTCTTAAATCTCTAATACTGGAAGGATATTCTACCATAGGAGAATGGACATGATTTGATATAGATGTTGAAACAGCTCCAATCATTTCTATATCTTTGTTCCTTGCCATTCTTGTTGCTCTTTTTAGTGGTAAATTGAATTAATACATTGTAAGTATTAATTTGTTTAATAATTCTTGTATTTATATCATTACATTCTTCATTTCAAGAAGCTCTGCCATGATAATACTTAAAGAAAGTTAGATGTCTAATATTGCTTAAGACAAATAGATAAAAAAGACTTGAAAACAAAGAAAAAAGTACTAAGGATAATATCATTTTAAAAGAGGATAATCTGCAACT